TGGGTGATCTCACATCCATCATTTCTCTTTTTTCTCAACTATTATTTGTTTCTTCTTCTCCTTTCTTCATAATTTATTCTCACTTCTATACAAAGTACCAAATGTGCAAACTTGGTAATGTTGTAAGCCTTGAACGGACTAAAGAATGTAAGAATCAGAAACTCCATAACTAGAGCTTTAATTCAAGCCCTTAATATCAAGTTTTGGCCATGGTTGTCATAAGTGGGTTTTAGTGGGGTTTTATGAAACCTAAAATACCACAGCTTATTTTTTTAGAGTTTCAAGCCTCAAAAACTATTTTAAACCCTTTCTAAGTTTCCTAACAACATTAGTAACCATTGTGTTTGATTTCTTGCATAGTGAGAGAAGTTGGAGAAAGCTCCAAGTACAAAAGAAATGAAAAGATCACCCTTGATTAAATTGAAGTAACTCCTAGCAACTTAGAACTCAAGGTAACTCACTTATAACTCAACTTTATTGCAATATAGATCACTAGGCGAGCTTTTTAGCTTGCATGAGTCATGAAGCATGTTCATGGTATATTTCAGTGTTTTGTGTTTTTCAACATGTTTATGGACTTATTATAACCCATATTATTAGATATAACACTTTAATAACATTTGGGGACCTTAGTAGGACTCATAAGAGTGTTGGAGAGGCATTTTGTGACCAAAACAAGGTATTTCTAGGCTGAGTATCGGTACTAGTAGAAAAATACCGATATTTTTCTTCAGATGCTAAAAATAAAGGATTTTGGGCTAGAAGTATCGATACTCATATAATGATATCGATATTGTAGGTAAGGTATCGACACTCGCAAGGTGGTATCGATAGCAAGTTCACTTAGCATATTCTAGTAGCTATTTTGGTATCGATACTCTTGGGAGTATTGATACCCCCAATAGCGGTATCGATACTTAGGTATTTTTTTTCTAAAACATCGAAGCCAAATTTGGTGCCGATACTCAAGAAAGTATTGATAACATAGACTAGAAGTATCGATACTCAAACTAGAGTATCAATACTAGCCCTTTTCTCTTAGTCTTCAATAAGTCATTAGTATCGATACTTAGAGGTTAGTATCGCTACCCAAAGGTTAGTACCAATACTGAGGGGCTTAGTATCGGTACCCAAGAATAGTTTTGCATAGAAACCTAAAGGTTTTAAGGGATAGTTTTGAGGGACTCATTAATATCAGAATGCCATGAAATAAGACTACAAGTGAGAACAGTAATAAACTGAGAACATCTAGAAACAATAACAACTAGAATGACATAAAACTAGTCTTGTTTGATGCTCGAGACACAGTCAGGAAACTCGAGTTACTTTAGCAGATAATGATCGTACGATTCAGATATCTCAGTCAGTGCCAAGACACTTCAGTTACTAGTTGGATGCATATGCCCCAAGACTCGATAGAGTAAGTTGGTTGGGTGTACATTTTTGATGTAGTTCTGGATCTCACCCTATATACCCAAGGGTATTTTAGGAATACTAAAGGTGTGTGAGCTCCGAGATGCAGAACCCTCAGTCACACCATGATGCCTATATAAGCATTCTACGTCTTCATACCTATGCCACTAACATGCTCATTTAGTGAATGCGTGTAGTATAATACAGTTATTAGTGTGGCACTGAGCTCGTAAGCTCAATGTTTGAAATGTGTTTTTGTGTGCAGGTTATTAGGAGATCGTCGGTGGAGTGTACCAGATATTGTAGCTCAACAGAGATCCTTAAAATACGTCTTGATTTATATTTGAGGTCATGTATCATTGTAGACCTTTTTTTATATTCAAACCTAACTCTATTTTGATTTAAACTCAGTGTATTATTTTTGGATGATTTGGGAGCTCCATAGTATTGTAAAACTTAGATTTACTATGTTTTATTTTATATCACTTTGAATGGTTATTTTATAATGTTTACAGTTGATTTAAAAAGAAATATTTTGGGTTAGCCACTCCGGTGGTCCCATTTGACATCATAATCCATCAATCTTCAGGTTGGAATGGATTTGGGTGTTACACATATAATATGTCTTAACATTTAATAAGAGATAAAATTATTGCAAAGAAATAATTTTTTTTGTGATCTTTGTTACGAAGATGAAGTTTGTAGGGATGGACAGTAGAATTTTGTTAATATAAGAGGTTTTAAAGTTACACTGAGTTTTGAGATATATATCAGGTTAATGGATACAAAGAATTCAATATATTTATACTCTTTTCAATTTATACTTCTATAATGAACTATTGTTTCTCTCATCCATTGAGATAAAAATGATCAAATCACATTAATTTTTTTTTGTGATTCATTTTATCTTGATCTCATTTTGATAATTATATCTTTTTACGAATTCCTAACAAGTGTTGTTAGAGTTATGTGACGAGTGTTGAATATTGCATACATTTATTTTTATTTACTCATCGTTTTGGATTGTATGTTACTAATTTATTTTTATTTTAGCTTATTTTAATGTAGGAACTTCATTTGGTTTAATCGACCAAAATCAACAATGAAAGGCATAATCTATAATTTTTATGGGATTGTGGCTAGGTCATAGGCACGACCTAGTGTATGACATTTTATGATGTGAAAAACTTAGTCGGTTTATTAAGTAGCTTCTAGAAGGTGGTCCAGTCAACATATTCTATTATCTTGAATATTTAATTTCGTAATTATCTTGAAGATAAATACTTGGGACGAGATTATCCAAAAGATAAAGCATAATTCAACCACAAGACTTAAATATTTTATCTTCATCTTTTGTGATAAACATTTGTTTTAAATTTAGGATTTTTATTTTGAGTTTTTTTATTTTTATCTTTATCTTTTAGTAGTTCTATTTTCTTAGAATTCTTGGGTTATAAATACCCTTTAGGTTCAAACTTTGAACTGATATTGAGATTCTTTGGTTACTTTATAAATATTTTATTTTCTTCATTCTATTTATTTTTCTTTTATTACTTTCTTTTCATAATGTTAAGCATAATTCAATCCATGCTTAGATAAACTTTCACTTAACCAAAGATTTTGCGAAGCTCAATTCTAATTTTGAGAACTGAGTCTTGGTTTTCATACCTTCAGATGGTGTTCTTTGATTCTCTGGAAATTGAGAGTGACAATCAATCATTCCCTTAAAAGTTACTACATCTTAAACTCAAAAGGTACACGTTGATTTGAAAATTATTTTTACTTGAAGTTTGGAAGTTAGATCGGTTGGTCGTAATTTGACTTCCTATAAATAAATTTAGCGACGGTATGTTAATGGGAATCAAGATCGAGTTTGATTCTCGATGAGATGTTTTAATTCGAGTTAGACTTTTCTAAAACTTAAAAATGTTTTGGATCTAACGACGATAGACGTGGTTAGACCAACAAGGATTGGATTTCGAAGATAAACTTGAAAGTTTCTCTTAACTAGAGAGAAGAGTTAGTTATAAGGGTTGGGCCTTGTTGATTATAATCGGCTTACATTAAAATTCTATTTCGATGATCGATCAAAATTGAGACTAAGCAAAGCCTAAGGCTAAGTCAATCCCATTGATTTTTTTTTTATTTTAATCATCTTCGATTCACTTTATTTTTACTTCTCTTTATTTATTTATATTATCTCTAAACCCCCAAGTTTTACTTTTGCAGTTAAAACTGAAGGACTAAAACAAGCATATTTATTAGGTTTCCTTAGTCCCGTGATCGACTTCTACTTATGTATACTACTTTCATAATTTATTTGAGATAAGAGAATTTATTTATTTGAAAATTTTTACTCTTGTAACTATGTTTAAAGACTCATGTTGATATGATCATGAGTTGTTATTTAGTTTTGAGTAGATTATTATGAATTTTGTTAGCAAGATAAGAGACATGAAAGAGATGTTTTACTACAATGAGTTTTAAATTGTATGAGAATAATTTTCAATTAATCTAACGATCTTCAACGTGTATTATTGACTCAAATTCTAATTGGTGATGAAGTTAGATTTTGGTGTATTCTAGTGGTTGGAAATTAATTGGTGATTAAACTTATTTAGACAAAAACTTTTATAAAATGAGATTTGTTGATAACGTAGTATTTGATTCTATAAATATAAGACTGACCTTAATATTTAAAATCATGAGAAAGATAATTATCGAAGAGATATAATATTCTTTTTCTGATCTCTAATACAAACTTGAGTTTGGTAGGGATGTACTTCAAATTTTTGGTAAAACATCATGTTATTGAGATACATTAGATTTTAAGATATAGATCACTTTATTAAATACATAAAATTTTATATATTTTATACTCTTTTTAATCTATATACTTTTAATAAATTATTATTTATTTTATTCATAGATAAAATAAAATAGTATTATAGTCACTTCTTAAGTATAATCTATTCCATCTCCATTTCATTCCTATTATTAATTCCACAGACAAATCCTTAATAAATAATGTGTACAAAAAGTTTCACGTTCACAAACACCCACTAATACTTTCATCATGCCCATTTTGTCCGTATATTATCTCTCTTCCTTTTCAATTTTTTTTTTTTTTTAAATTTTGAATGATGATTAGTAGAACAGATGAAAAGATTACAATATTTGCAAGGCACCAAGGAATATCACATCTTGAGGATATGAGGGTTGGTATCACTTTTGAAGTGGTAAGAAACCTCTGAAGAAGCGAGGTTTACATTCGACCTTCCAACAATATTCTGAAACTAACGCAGGGAGAACATTAAATATCAACACTGATGACCTAAAAACAACTACGTACATAAAATCTTTTGGTACTTTGATTGTTTTTTGCTCACAACTTCAACCGTGGGGGCATGATCAGATTACTGTTTTGTGAACATGTTCATCGTGTTGAATTCATTGTCGTTTAGGCAATCGAATCCAAAGTCATTGATTCCAAAATCTTGACAATCCAGAAAGCATGCGATGTGGTCCTCCCAGGATGGTAAGCTTGACTCATTACTATAACAAGTTTCTGTTGCCAGTGTGGCACCGTTCCAAGCATCAGCCAGGGCAGGTTCATCGAGCCATAAGCTCGTCAACAACGTTTCGTCGTTTCAAATGCTGTCTAACAAAGTGGAGTCATCGGTGGTGGAAAAATTCTCAGTTGGTGTAGTGCTGGAATTATCCTCTGACGAGTTGGTGATGCTGCCGCCGTTTTCTGTGATATTATTATCTGCAGAATTTTCAGCATGGGGAGAACTTTCTTCAGGCTTGGATTCTTTGTTTAAAGGTTCATGAGTAACTGGGTCGATTCCCAATTTTAGAAGCTTCTTCTTGATGTGGGTGTTCCAGTGGTTCTTGATCTCATTGTCGGTTCTGCCTGGCAACCTGGCTGCAATCTTCGACCACCTGCCATTATTAAGTTTGATTGTGAGGGTTCGTTTTCAGATGCTTTAACTGGAAAATGAGATGATTAGATATATATATATAAGCTGGCGTCTGTCTCATCAGAAACAAAAGCAATTAAACAATTCTAATGATTTATCAGTTGAAATGCTCCAAGCAATCCCATCATGACGGCAAAACTTTCGACATAATTTTCTCGAATAAATTAATTCACGAAATAATACATTTTTCAGATTAATTGTTCAAATAGGGTGAAATTTACAGTGTTGATCGTAGGTCACCATGTCATCCGGGCAACCTACTAGGTCGTCATTTCTTCCCGGCGAGCTACGAGATATTTTGCATGTGCCATGCACGTCCCAACACGCTGGACATCCGATGACATTCGAGCGAGCTATGCGAGAGCATCCGAGACCATCCGACCGAGGCCATCCGAGGGATAGATCGCCATGCACGTTGGGCTAAGTAACAAATATTACCTACATCGATAATTAGGCTTTCATACGATTACCTAAATTTCCCTAAGTAACAATGATTACCTACATCGATAATTAAGCTTTTTAACTACGTTGAAATGAAGATCGTCATGTGATTCCGACGACCAAACTGACGAGATGTCTAATTATTGATATAGGTAATGAAGCAGCTCACCACAGCTCGCAGAGACGGCATGGCGACCTCCTTAGTCGCCAGGACCGCATGGCGACATATGTTCGGATTGTAGATTTCACCCAATCTCAACAAATAATTTCAGTTAAATCTTATTTCAACAAATATTTTTTTTCAAAACTCTACAACAACAAATCACCCCATCACGACAGAAAAACAGTATAACACAGATGAGAGAGAGAGAGAGAGTGATTAAACCTATTTCCAAGACGGGAATGAAGATCAATAACCAATTGTTCTTCATCATCAGAAAGAAGGCCCCTCTTCAAATCAGGCCGAAGATAATTAGTCCATCGAAGCCGGCAGCTTTTGCCACAGCGGCGGAGGCCAGCGAGCATAGGAACAGCACGCCAGCAACACTGACCATTGGTGAGAATAAAGTTGATGAGTTTCTTGTCTTCCTCAGCTGTCCACGGTCCCTTTTTAACTCCCAGTTTGTCACAGCAAGGCTTCCTACCCATAGCTTACTCTCACTAGACACAAACAAAAATGTAATTAAGCTTACCAACTCTATACCCGTAAAGATCCAAAAGCCCCAAACCACACACCCCTTTATATAAAGTGCTCGAGCAGCCTTCAAGGATGAAATATATAAATTTTGAAAAATGGAGATTATGGGAATTAACCGAGTTAATATATGTAAATATGGACATAAATTCAAAATTTACAGAGATGGGAGGAGATCTCAGGTACCACCAATGGTTTAAGAAAGCGACGTTGGAACTAAAACGGGGTGTTCTAGTGTGAAAGATGGGATGATGGGTGACCCAAAGACAATGGCTATATCTAAGCATTTCTCCCAAAAAAATTCTTCCCATTTTCCTACAAAATCCCACTCTCCCTGTTGCACTCTTTAATCATTCCATCATCCATTTCGTCATCACCACGTTTTCATGCGCTGGCTATTCTTTTCCCTTTTTTTAAAGGGGAATATTATAGAAGTTTTGTGTTGAAACCAGTAAAAAGTTAGAAGCAGAAAAAAAATCATTACATAGAAAACACAAAGCAGCAACAAGCATTAAAGAAAACAACCTGTTCAACACAATAAAGCTTGTTGCGAATATCAGCGGTTCAGGACTTCATCCGATTCCGTCGAAGCACAGGAAGCCGAAGCTTGTTCTTGAGAACGGTAATCCCACAGAAACGCACATAGGGTTGAACGTAGGAGGAGCCTCGTGAAAAAAAACAGCCAAAAAAAGTGAGGGGCTCTAACCAGGTCAATCACCTATCGGAAAAACCAACCTGGCTAGCCGATCTTTAACAAAAAACTAATTATCTTAAAAATAATATTTTATAGCTACTAATGAATGAAGTCATATATACAAAAATTAATTCAAAGAAAAATATTTTGAATAAAAATGACAAAATATAACGCCCAATTAAATAAGTTATGAATTTTTTTAATAATTTATGAAAAAATACACAATAAAATAGTAATATAATTTAAGTGGTAAAGATTAATGAGGTGGTTTGATAATACTGTCTAAAACTATTTTTAGGGTCTCTTTGTTTTGGGGAAAACCAATTACGGAATTGGTTTTCCCGAAATCCAATTTTTGTTTCACGTAATTCGTTTTTCGAAAAATATTTTTCCGTGTTTGTTTCACATAATTCGTTTTCCGAAAAATATTTTCCAGTGTTTGGTTGGAAGAAAATTGGTTGGCCAACGTAAAACATTTTCCTGGTCAACAGAATTTCCTTTGTGTTTTCTGAAAAATGACTTACGGTCTGATTTTTCGTAAGTCATTTTCCGAACTTTTCACTTCAAAGAATAAATACTCAAAATAACTTTATTTTATGAATTTAATATTAATAAAATATTTTAATATCATTTTAATCAAGATATTAATTATTAAAATATTTAAAATATATTTATTAATATTTCTAATAATATAATATTATATTTTTAATATTATAATAAAATAATCAATTATATTATAATAATATAATATAAGATATTATATTTTTATTTTCATAATATATAATAAATTATTAATAAAATTTATATTATTTATTAATTTCATAGTAATATTATTAAATTATTAATAATGAATAATATTATTTATATATTTAATATTAATCTAATAATATTTTAATAAATATATTTAAAATATACTAATTAATATTTTTAAAATATAATATAAAACTATTACTTTAGTAAATAATTAATATAATTTATAATATTTTCATTTCAATAAAATATACCAATATTAATATTTTTATTAATAAAAATATAAAAATAATATTTAATAATAAATTAATTATTTTAATAATTTAAAAAATAATAATATTAAGTTTTATTATAAATAATATTATTTATTGTATTTAATATTTGTAATAAATAATTTTAAAAAAACTTATCAACTAGTGGAAAAAAGTTTAAACAACATCTTCCAAACATCGTAAAATGTTTTCCAAAAAAATGTAATTCATTTTACGAAAAACATTTTCCAGAAATTTAATTCATTTTCCATAATTCAATTTCCAGAAAACTAATTACAGCCAAACAAACAGACTTTAGTTAAAAAGTTCATTTTAACTTCAAAATCAATGTCAAAATGATAAAAAATTAAAAAAATATATAGTGAAAACAATGGTTTTAAAACCAATCACAAAAACTATAATTTCTAGCTTTGTCATTTACAACTTTGTGTTTAGAAGTAATTTATATTTTTAGCCTTACCAATGAGTTATCACAAAAGTATTTTTCTTAATAAAATATTTTGTATGTAGAAATATTATTAATGAGTTATCTTAAAATATATTTTATATTTTTATTATAATTTAAGTTGATAATTTTATATATCATAATGTTAAGGGTAAAGTATACAAATTGTCCCTCGACTATAGTGTATTATTTATTAAGTCTCTCGACTATTAAAAGTTAACAAATAGTCCTCCGACTATAGAGTGTTGCTTTATTGAGTCCCTCGACTATTAAAAGTAACAAAATGGTCACCCGACTATTCATTATGTTCCAAATTCGTCATTTTCTGTTAAAAAATTGAAAGTATTCTAAGATGAACATTAACTTGTTGACTGTGATATGATAAAATATGATCCTAGAATATCAAAAATTATCATATTTAATCATCATGTTAACGTTCAACTTAGACAAACTCTGATTTTTAACGAAAAATGACGAGTTTGGAACATAGTAAATAGTTAGGTGACCGTTTTGTAACTTTTAATAATCGATGGACATAACAAAATAACATTTTATAGTTAGAGGATTATTTTATAACTTTTAATAGTTGAGGGACTTAATAAAGCAATACCCTATAGTCGAGGGACTATTTTTGTACTTTATCATAATATTAATAAATGTAAATATAATTTAAATGTTTTGATTCACAACATAATTTCTAAAATTAACATTTTATCTTTTCAAAAGTAATTTTCAATCATAATTTCAAACAGTTCAATTTTAAATTGTAATTTTAAAATGTCACTTTTTTTTAAAAAAAAAAAGTTCTACAATACTTTTATAAGTGTTTTAGAAGCGTTTTATGGTTAGGAATTTTATTTCTGAATAAGAAAAGACTACACCGAGTTTCAACGAGATGAAGTAGTTGTGAGAATTGACCTCTACGTGCTACAGGGCACTCAAGCATTTGAACTGGGGTGTTGCGGCACCCACGCCAATTCCCACATGCTCATTTTTCTTTGTTACTTTGCTCCTCTTTTACATACTAGAATTCTTGGTCTATTTTTTTTTTAAGGTTTCTTGTTCGTTTTTCAACTTCTTATAGTACGATTTAAAATTTAATTCTCACGCGGGCGTGCAGGACACAAAATTCTTCTATTTATTCGTATATATTACATCCAATTTTTAATCGGACTCTAAACTCACTAGAAATGACCCTATCCTTGAGAATTGTTGAAGAGTCCATGGACGTTTGTTATGATATGAAGATCATAGGTTTAATACCTATCAAACTATTCCTTTTTGATTTCTTCTTATGAAAAATTATTAGATGTACTCGTTTCACCACGTTATTTATGGTATCGACCAATAAGATTTATCCATCTCATTTTATTCAAAGTGAATTTTCATTTATTTCCTAAATGTAAATAGAAGATGTAATTATTTTGAGATTGATGAATCTAATTGATTGGACCATGGATGACATGGTGAGTCTAGTCCATCAAATAATTTTCCTTCTTATATAATCTCCTATTTATGGAACATATTGGTAGGATTTATTTTTCGTAAATATGAGATTGTGTATATATATGATTTAATCCAAGTCATTGATATAAATGATCTATACCATTAGATGTAAAGATACTCAGCTAGAGATAGAGACCTTCCCACCTTATTGAAGATTAAATGATCTAAACCATTAGATAGAGGTCTTCTTCACCCTTTTGAAGACACGTAAAAATTTAGAGTATATTCATTCTTCACTTCTTAATAATATATGCAAACATTTACTTCATATTTCTCTTGCTAATTTCTCTGCCTTTAGTTCCTCTCTTGACGTGTGTGGTAGAATTTCCTATTTAGTTCGTGAAGTTTATTAGTAAGAGGAGGAAGTAGATCGTCCAAACAAATCCAACGTGCACCGAATAAAAATGGTCTAAAGAAGCTTTCAAAGCATAACCCTTCTTCAATCTTGAAAATTTCAAAAGTACTAAAAAAATTTGCTCTTTTGAATACAAGAGCTCTATGGTTTTTAGGAGAGAATATGAGAGGGAGATATGGGTGAAAAGATGAATGGAGAATGTTTTATCAACTATTCAGCCTTTGTCCCATGACCCCATCTCTCACACGTTCAAACATGAGAAAATAAATGGGATTTCAGATATGTTATTCAATAACGGGTAAATCTCACTTTTAGTCCTTTTTCTTTCAAAATTCAAAGGTCCTCTATTTTTGTGCCCATTTTTCCATAATTCTTATAGAGTTATTTGATTAAGTCTATAATATTTTCTAATTAATCTAATTATACTTATTAATTGATCTCTCTATGACTTAAGTCCATGTTCAAACATTGACTAAAAAATTTAAATCGTTACAGATCGTGTATGATTAATATTGTCTTCTATTACTCAATACAAATAAGGAAAAAGAAATATATATGTATATATATTTACACTTCACGAGATCAATACCTCATTAATATTGATGAGTGTTCTAAATCAATAATATTTGCTTGTTAATTCTTTGATCTTATGGATTTATTGATGTTGATTTGGTTGTATTATGCTTATTATTGTGCAAGATCTTGCTTTCCAGAATTAGCAATAAAACATGTGCATTCTACATTTTTATTATTATTTGGTCACTGCTGGAAACATAGGCACGAATCTGGGCATGACATGGTCTAATGTGGCAGTTTCTAGAAGGTACAGTCATCAACAGTTTTCTAGAAGATCTAGTCAACGCCTTCTGGAAGACGGACAAACAGAGATATCTTTGGAGATTTATTTTTAAATTTTAAAGTCTGAATTTAGAAAATATTTGGAATTATCTTTAGGATTATTTTTCTTTTA